GATTATTGAACTGGCAATTTTAATTGAGTACAACCTTTAATGCATTGATATACATTTTTTTTCATGGCAAAAATGCTAGTGTAGGGTCTCTTTGTTTTGGGTACTTTCATTTAATGCATTGATATTCAATTTTTATTTGTAAACTCATCAAAAAATTGTTATCACATATATATAAAAAGAATCTGATGCCTAAATTCGCTGGAAAAAAAAAAAACTCGAAAATTAATTTTTAAAGAAAAAAGTGTAAACCGCAAACCGCCTGCAACCGCCCGCACATCCGCAAACCCTATCCGCATAAACCGCAAACCGCACTGCGGGCGGTTGCGGGTTGACTTTTTCCCAAACCGCATAGATGCGGGCGGGTCAAAACCGAACCGCAAACCGCACAAAACCGATCCGCGAACACCCCTAGTTTGTGCGGTACGTTTACGTTTTGAGTTATATTTATAAAAAATTTATAAATTAATTTTTATTTATTTTTACAAAAATATAAACTATAAATGCGTTTGGCTTAGACAAAATACTTAAAAAGTTTAAAAATATAAAAAAGAGTGGGAAATAACAAGTGGTGGCGGCAGAAAACGGTGGTGGAAAATGATGGCGGGTGGTGGTGGCGGAAGACGGTGGGTGGTGGGTGATGGTGGTGGTGGTGGTGGGTTGTGGGTGGTGGTGGCAGGTGGGTGGTAGGTGGCTGGTGGGTGGTGAGTGGTGGTGGGGGGTGGGTGGTGGTGGCGGAAGACAGTGGTGGAAAATGGTAGTGCGTGGTGGCTAATGTTGGGTGGTAAAAAAAAATCAAAAATCAAAACTCAAAACTCAAAACTCAAAACGGAAACACATTTTTTGAGTTTACATTTTTTGGCCAAATTTATAAACTGAGACCACTGATTTATATATCAAAAATTTACCAAACAAGTTTTTATTTGAATTTTTAAAATTTTTGTAAATATAAATAGAAAACTGAAAACGTTAAGTGTTACCAAACGGCACCTTAAAGTTTTCATGATTTGATTCTTAAATTTTTAGAATGAATTTTCTAACTTAGAACAGTAAAGACTTATTTAGTTCTTAACCCCGATTTGGCATTTATGTTAGGAATAAATAATCACAAAAAGACAAAATTGACTACAAAAACCAATAAGACAAAATACTAATTTTTTTTTTATCATAATCATTACACTTTTTCTCTCACAAAAGTCAAAAAAGCCCCAAAACAAAAACCAAATGAGGCTGAAAAAATCAAACTAAAAAAGTCTCAACACAAAAAAATTAACTATATTAGCCAATGCCAAACGAGCTCTTAATTTACCACAGAACCAAACCAAACCAAACCAAACCAAATTTTGATTTTCATGCATGCCTTCTTGACGAGCCTAGTCACTTCTAGATGGTTCTTAAAAATGATTATAATGTTTGATGTTCACATTTTTCTCTGTGTATTTGACTAATTTTCTCTGTGTTTTAACCAAACTAGAGAAAATTACGTTTGTTAATTTTCTATGTTAATTTTCTTTGTGTGATCCACACCAACATAACCATGGGTATCTTTTGCAACCCTTTCAAGATCAACCTGTAAAAAGATAAGCATATCTGTAGACACTCCATTTTTGACCGTCTTTAAGACTTGGGCGCTATTGATGGTTTACCGGGTGGGGAAAGATGTGCAGGGCAAAAGGTTCAATTTCTTCGGCAAGAGGAGAGTCAAATCCTAACCTCACACCCCATTTTGGACCAAAGCTATTTTGGATGGTTTTTAGACCTTAAAACCATTTCTTTCAAAATATTTTTGAAATAAAGTTCCTACGATGTTCCGAGGCTCGCATTTCGTAAAATGTTACGTTTTTCGGTAAACCGAGAAAGGACAAAGTGGAAATGAATGAAAGAGAGATGAAATCTTTGAAAAATCTTTCAAAACACCTTGTTCAGGGGTTTGGAGTTGAAGAAAAGAGGAGAAGAGGGAAGAAACCTAGTTGGAGAAGAAGATGGGCATGAATCGCTAAGAGAGAGTCGAACAGCCCTCGCTAAATCAGGCCTATCCTTTTGAATACTTTGATTTCAGCTATGAGGCCACCACTGTTGAAAATCTTACTTCCGGGGCTTCATTTTTCACTTAAGAATCTCTTAAAGCCGTGTCCGGATGGGGGAGATATGATGGGTTGAAATTGGGCATCATTCCGGCTGAACCGAAACTGAGCAACCTTCACTAAAAGAGGTATATCTCTTAGCACACATGGCATTTTGATGTGAGGCTTCCAAATTTGGAAAGAACACTTCCGGGGCTACAGTTTAGGCTTAATAATGACCTGAAAAGGAGTCCAGATGAAGGAATTAGGCTTGCTTCAAGTCAGGGACTAGGACTGATTTTTTCCATCGGCTTCTGTGGAAGTCTACCGGCCACAATTGGACCTCACCGGCCATAGGTCGGCCAAAAGGGAACTTTATCAGCCACAAATGATGGCCGGTCGGCACTAAAGATGGCCGGTAGGCCAAAAGTGTCCAAAACTCAGATTTTTGACAGATATTTCTCCTCCAGCTGTTGCCAGCTTGCTCCAATTGTCCCAAATCAGATATTTTCGAGCCAACTCTCATTTTTGCTATATATGAGGCTATATCTCTCATTTTCAAAGGATAGAACTTCTTGGGCAATTTTGGGAGCCTCTCTCTCTAAAAACTCCTCTCTCTCTAGAACTTTCAGACAAAAACCTTTGCCTCTCTCTCTAGAGCCTCTCTCCATTGCCCTTTTGTGCATAGAAGTCCATAGAAGTAGAGAAATACTTCTTGTTTGCATATAATTCCTTCATCAAAGTTGATCACCATTGGCTTGAGGTCCCTTGGAACCTATTTTTGGGCTGATTGAAGGTTGTTTGGGCTCAGAAAAGTGATTGTTTTGCTGCTGTCCTTCAAGGTTCTTCAAGGGTGAGAAACTACACTCTTTATTTCCTATTTTTGCACAAGCTTTTAGCCTATCTTGCATGCTGTTTTGAGCTTAACTTATAATTGATAAAAGTTCTGATTTTGCATGCTTTTGATCTTTGTTTAAGATCACTTTTGTGTTTGGGGTTGTTTACCCCCTCTTAGGCCTTGTTTGGCCTCATTTTTGTGGCCTTTTTTGTGAGCTTCGGGACCACCTTGTATTGGCCTTCTCACCACTGAAATCCAGAGGGATTTTAGTGGTGGGGATGGTGTTTTGAAGTCCTAAGAAGGAGAGGGCCATCTCCTCTCCTTGTTGTCTTCAATACTTGTCATATTTGCCTCACATGTGAGCGTCTTTGTTAAGTTCATGTTGGCCATGTCTTAGCTGGTATTTGTGGTTATTTTTCTGTCATATGCCACCGTTTTTGCCTATCTTGGTCATTCCATGCTTGGTTTATACACTCATAGTGTAAATTTTGCAAACTAGTCTTGTATGCTTCATGTTTGAGCATGTCCTTCTAGCTCATGTTGACCTCATTTTAGTGTGTTTTTGGGGTTGTTTTAGCATGTCATAACTCTTTCAAAAGTGTGTTTAATAGCCCCTTACATACACCATGCACTTGTAGTGCATTTCCATGAAATTGCCCTAACATGCTTTGTGCTTTAAGCCTTGTTTTTAGCATGATTTTGGCTTGACCCAAAGAAGATTTTAGCATTTTTTTACCATGCTTAAGGTCTGTTTGGTGTTGTTTTGGTCATGCTTGCATTGTTTTGTATAGCCATGGTTCAACCTAGCTTGTTGGCTTTGAATGTCCAAGTCATTTGTATGCATTGCTAGGACTTTTCTTATGATTTGGCATCATTCCATATCATATATCAGTGCATATTTCATGGTCATACACTTGCATTTGTCACTCTTTCATTGCTTTGAAGAGTTGTTGTTTTGTGTTTCAAGAATGGACCATTGTGCATGCCTTTATGCTTAGGCCTTTAGGATGCCATCTCAGTGGGTTTTTGGGCTTATTTTGACATGCCATAACTTTGATTTTCATTGGTTAAGCCATGCTATGTTTGGTTGTAGTAGGTGTAGTGTAGCATCCTTTTGTTGGCCTTGCATGCCTTACGTTTTGTGCTCACCTTTCTAGCATGTTTTGGCCACATTCCATGCATGTTCTAGCCTTGTTTTGGTCTACCTTGGGACTGTTTTAGTTCACTTTGGCCCTTTGGGGCTTGGTTGAAATGGCCTTGGTACAAGCTCCTTGGCTAGCTTTGAGCTTTAAGTCCATTAGCATGCTATGCTTATCCTATGTGCACGATTTGACATCACTCTTGACATGATTTCAGAGCTCATTGCATTGTCATATTCTCATGTTTATCCCATCTTGCTCATATTTGAAGATTGTGCATTGTGATCTAGTTTATGGACCAATGTATTTGCATGCATGCCTCCCATTTTGGTCCCTTGATCTGGGTGTTTTGGCCACTGATTTTGGGCATGGCCGAGGTCTGTCCCATTTCAGTTTAAGTCCATTTTTGCATGTTGTTGCATGTTTATCCATCTTGCATATCATTGCATACTTGCTAAATTGCATATTGTCGCATGCTTGTTTAGGATGAATTGCATTTTGCATGCTTGGTACATTGCATGTTTGCATGATTAGGTTTCATTGTATTTTGCATATTTGTTACATTGCATTTGGCATGCTTATGTTGCATTGCATAACATCTCCATGTTGCATGCATTACATTGTGTTTGGTTTGGGGCGTTAAACCAAACACGAGGAACGAGGGACGTTTCATACTTGAAGTGACGAAACGTGCCTCAATCCTCGGTCGCCGACGCTATTGATCGTACATGATAGAGTTCTAGGCATCCATGTTGTTTTTGTTACATTCATTTCACATTGATTTGAACACTTGGCACCTTTGGCCATCATGCATTGAAATGCGTGATTGGTGGTCCGGGGGTCGAGAGCCATGCTCATTGAGTTCATAGCATGATAGGGAGGGTGGTTGTGCACACATTGCCCTGAAAATGCATTACCATGCTCTGTCTGTCCTCTGTTGCAGCAAAAACAGAATTCTGCAGGAAGAGATGGTCGGCCGGCCATCTTCAGTGCCGGTCGGCTATGAATTGTTGGCCGATATCCATACAAATGGTCGATGACCACTATCCCTTGGCCGGTGGCCCTTTGTCTTGGCCGGTGACCTCCCACAGTGCTCAGGGAGTGGTTCAGAAGCATCCTTGGGACTTGTGCAATTTTCAAAGATATAAAATAGTGCAAACAGAGCAACATGTGGCATGGCAACTGGTTTTCGAGCGAAGCTGACCGAGCATGCATTCGTCCCTCTTCCCGAGGCTATTTTACTTCTTTTCATAGCTTAGTTAATTTGTTTAATTAATTAAGTGTTTTGTAATAATTAATTAGTTAGTTAATTAGTTAATTTGTATTATTTATTCGGACCCTCTGTCAAGAGGGAAAATTTTGTAATAAGCGTGCGTGCATGTGTGAATGTCTTCCAACTCTACGTCTTTCTCCCTTTTACTTACTTGCTTTCAGTGGTTAGTTTTAGGTCATGTTTCAATTAGCATCCTTATGCTCGCATGTTTGCATCATTCATCTGTATTGCATGCACCGGACTCGCTGCATCATACTAATTGCATCGTATTTCAATTCTAATTTGAATATGTGCATTAATTGTTGCATCTAACATGCCATTTTAGAAAAGCCGAGCCTATCTCTAGTTGCATTTTGCATGTGTTGCATTAGCCATCTTCACATAGCTAGGATCATGCATTGATTTCTAACTAGCTATTGTTTTGGCTCGGAGTACTAGGTAAGTGTTTACGCTTTAACATACCGCATGTGTGTAAGTGTTGCCATGATAACATGCTCACCATGAGGCTATTTGCTTATGTGATATAACTGCCTGAATGCCTATGGGTGAAGGTTAGATTACTTGAATTGGAATAATTCATTGAATGCGGGTTTTAAGCCCACTCTGCGGGGTGGCAAAATCATGTTTTCTAAAGCCCACTCAAGGGTGGCAAATCCACGTCTTAGCCTATTTACGGATAGCACCACCAAACCATTTTCAAATAAACAAACATGAAATGTTTTGTTCCAATTTAGGCGGTCTAGTCTATACTTGTGTGCTGTGCGCATCACATAGTAATTCTAGGCTAATAACCGGAATAAGAACACATGTGTTTTCAAAAACAAGATATCATGCTTAGTACAGGCCGATCTTTGATCGGGCGAGCGGGGGTGCTCATTGCGTGACCTTCCCCAATCGTACCCAAGTTCCCGAGCCTAGGCAACTTTGGTGATGACGGACATGTGGCCTTAGGCACGAGTCAGGGTTTCCTAAATTCTCCCAAAATAAATATTTAAGTGGCGACTCTATATCTGGCAAAGCAGTCCATGTTTGGCACTCCTTTACAAAAAATCAGTTTTCCAAAACGATTTGCCGGATTTGGACTCTTTGGTGATTTATCAATCTCACATCGCACATTGTGAGATCAGATTAAGAACCGTGACATTGAGTTCGAACTGTAGCATGAAGCCCAAGGGCGCGTCTACAATATCAATTACATAAGTAAAATCAAATTGTTAAGAATACTGAAACAGAAAGGCAGTAACTAGAATCTCACATATTCAACAAGTGTCATGTTTTTTGTATGGATCTGAAGGACTTCCAACCTTCCCACCTCATGTGGTACACCAATGTTAATCTTTAGATCAAATCTCCCAAATCTCCTTAGAGCATGGTCAATGCTGTTTGGCCTATTGGTAGCCCCCATGACGATCACGTGAGCTCTGGACTTGAGGCCTTCCATTAAAGTCAAAAGTTGGGATAGTATACGTCTCTCCACTTCACCATGTGTCTTTTCCCTCTTCGGAGCAATTGAATCTATTTCATCAATGAAGATGATAGACGGAGCATTTTTTTCAGCTTCCTCAAATGCCTTTCTCAAGTTGTTTTCACTCTCACCAGCCAGCTTTGACATTATTTCAGGGCCATTTATGAAGAAGAAAAATGCACCTGTCGCATTCGCTACAGCTCTTGCAATTAGTGTTTTTCTAAACCCAGGTAGGCCATAAAGCAAGATACCTTTTGGAGGCTTTACACCAATTGACTTGAAGAGCTGTGGATGCCTATTTCTCTGTGATTTGTTCGCAATTTTCTTTATGTATTTGACTATTTTTTTTTTTTAATTTGTGCATAATTTTCTCTGTGTTTTAATCAAACCAGAGAAAATTGTGTTTGTTAATTTTCTCCGTGTGATGGCCAGAGAAATTTGTTGATTTTCTCTGGCCAAATCACATACTCACCCCATGATCAAATTACACACTCAACTTTAGTCCACAATTTCAAATAACCAAATCCACAAACCAGAGAAAATTGAACAACCGCCATTTCATTTTGACCAATTTTCTATAGACATCCAGACAACAAAAAACTAGAGAAAATTGAACAATCACCATTTTCATTTTGACCAATTTTCTCTGGACTGTAAGACATTTAGACAACAACAAATCAAAGAAAATTGAACAATCACCATTTTCATTTTGACCAATTTTCTCAAGATTGTAAGACAACAACAAACCAGAGAAAATTGAACAACCACCATTTTCATTTCGACCAATTTTCTCTAGATATTCAAATAACAACAAACCAGAGAAAACTGAACAACCACCAGTTTCATTTTGACAAATTTTCTCTAGAATGTAAGACATTTAGACAACAACAAATTAGAAAAAATTGAACAACCACTATTTTTATTATGACAAATTTTCTGTGGACGGTATGACATTTTCTCTAGACTTTATGTTGGGCAATTAGGATGTGATTCTTCCATTTCAATGCTTAATTTGCCTCAATTTTGCCAGTTTATAATGCCAAGAACAACCTATATCTAGACACAACCCAACTGAAGTTTTGCAAGTTTATAATGCCATGCTCACATAAATGAATTCGTAAATGGCACTAGTAGGATAGGATGTCTCCATACAAGACGCCAAAAAATTATTTGTTGCCTCATAAAAACAAACCCATGAGTTAAAATTTGCTCTGCTCACCATGGGCACCACTAATAATTCAATTGAATAAAATAAAAAATAAAAAATTGAATAGCTACATATAACACAAAAGTTAAATATATGACTAAAAAATCTTAAAGAATGTAAGCTTGAAGATGCTTGGAGTAGAGCAATAGCGCCTTATCGTAGTCCTTGATGAGGTGCTTGTGGAACTCTAATTGACTATTGCAAAAGGCTCGATTACTGAAAGTTGAGCAGCAGAGCTTCGCGAGTTGGACTCTCTCTGAGATTTCGGCTGACGCCATTGACACCGGCAATAGAACGAAACCACTTTGTATCTATCTCTATCTCTATCTCTATCTTTATCTTCATCACTAGAGTTGTGATTTTCCTTGGTTGAGATTATAGAGAGAGAAATAAGCGAGGAGAGAGAAGCGATGGAAGAATCGAGCAATGGTTTGGTCTCTCTAGAGATGATGGAGACGCTAAAGGGTTCCCTGTAAAGAGCGCCCTCATACCAAATCTCGTACTTGGAGGTTAAACTGATGAAGCTTCCTATGTACGAAGCTATCAAAGACAAGGATGAAGACCACGATGGTGATAGTGATGGTGGTGGTGGCGGTAAGGGTGGAGATGATGATGATGAAGCTGAAGCTTTCATGCTTGATTTGTTCGACATTTTTGTCAAATTTCTCTGTGATATATGGGGTCAGGATTGAGAGACCTTAGACATCATAAAATAATATCGTGAACTTTATCCATTACTAAAAATGAGATAGGAACCCTAGACTAATTTTCTCAACTACATAATATCAAGGCATCATTAAATAAATATTATGAAAAGCTTTTATGAAAAATTTTCACCTTTGGATTAGTTTGTAGTGTTTTATGAGTAATGTTAAGCATCATGAAAGAAATATCATGAAAAGTTTCATAAAAAACTTTCATCATTTGATTTGTGTGTGGTGTTTTATTATGCGTATAATCTAAACGTAGAGGATCTTCATGAAGCCTTTTATGATATTTCGTTTATGATGTTTAACATTGTTCATGTTTTATTGTATATTATGCAATTACCCTTGAATTAGTTTTATAAAAAAAAATTATGATATTTATTAAATGATACATTACTCATTTTCTAACTTAAAATCGAGCCAGAACCAAAACCAAATTCTTAAAGTTTTATTGATTTGATTCTTAAATTTTTAGAATGAATTTTCTAACTTATAATTGAACCAGAACCAAATTCTTAAAGTTTTCATGATTTGATTCTTAAATTTTTAGAATGAATTTTCTAACTTAGAACAGTAAAGACTTATTTAGTTCTTAACCCCGGTTTGGCATTTATGTTAGGAGTAAATAATCACAAAAAGACAAAATTGACTACAAAAACCAATAAGACAAAATACAAATTTTTTTTTTTAATCATAATCATTACACTTTTTCTCTCACAAAAGTCAAAAAAACCTTCCCAAAAAAAAACCAAATGAGGCTGAAAAAATCAAACTAAAAAAGTCTCAACACAAAAAAATTAACTATATTAGCCAATGCCAAACGAGCTCTTAATTTACCACAGAACCATACCAAACCAAATTTTGATTTTCATGCATGCCTTCTTGACGAGCCTAGTCACTTCTAGATGGTTCTTAAAAATGATTGTAATGCTAATCATAAAGTTAATTCACATTTCAAACTAACAAAACACTAAAACAATTTGGATTGTTGAAGAATCTAAAAGCACAATTTTAAAATAAAGGAAATAAGATGATAGTTGAAACGAGTTAAGTATAATTAACCCTGATTAATACACAACTTCGTTTCACATACAAGTTGCTATGAATGAAATTTGTATCTTTGAAGTCCTTTATATACTCATTAAGGTTATGTTCAGATCATAATTTTAGGTAGAAATTTGGAGAGAGAGAGAGAGAGAGAGAGAGAAGGTGAGGGCAATACGAATGAAATATAAACTATTTTTTTTTCTTTTTCTTTTTCCATTCTAAATCTTTACCCAAAATCCATGATCCAAACATAGTATAAAGCCAAATTAATGCTTAGAAGCAAATTTGTGTTCCTTGCCTTGCCAAGTTACCAAAATTATGATGTTCATAGACATCCATAACAACTAAACTGGACCATTAATTGAATTAAATTTGTAAAATCTACCAAAAAAACTTGTCCAAACCTAGCTAGCCAATCTAAAAGAACTTGTCCAAACATTCCAATCTTACGTCTGCTAACAACCCATTCACCATCCAATTATACTAACCTAGTCTTCTTTACAAAGACAATGCAGCCTCCACTTCAAAGACTTACAAGCATGTGTTGATTACATGAATGAGAGAACAAGAAAGCAAGACTGAGAAATCAAGATTGTTGTAATTGAGAGCTCCAAACGAGCTATAGAATTGTTCGTTGTTAGTCCCACAAATTCCAAACCGGGCATCAACCTTGATGTTAGTCCAAAATTGTTCGTGGTTGGTCCCACTAGTTCCAAACCAGGCGTAAAACCTGGTGTTAGTCCAGAATTGTTCGTGGTTGGTTCCACAAGTTCCAAACCAGGCGTCAACCCTGGTGTCAGTCCGCCATTATTGTAGATCAGAGTGGAGGTTCCAGGTGGAGGAGGTGTAGTTAAAGAAGGGGTTGTAGTTGGCCTACCCGTCTCTCCCCTCCCTCCTACAGTGCTAAAATTTTGAAGATTCAAAAGCCATTAAGCATATATGTAGCGATTCCAGTTTTGCCACTTCGCTGAGTATGTCGGGGATCGAGCTGCCTGGTCAGCTCGCGGGAGTCTAGGGAGCAGTGTTCCTTGGCGGGTCTTAGGGCAGCGCCCTGGCGGGGTTGAAGAGCAGTGCCCCTGAAGCAAAAATGTAAAATGCATTAGAAGTTTCTTGTCCGCTCGAGTGGCCATTTATGCACTTGAGCGAGGAATGTTTGGTTTTAGAAGTTTGACCTGTCTGCAAAAGTACTGGGAAAGTGTATTTGATGCTCGAGCGGGGCTTTCCACGCTCGAGCAGATCATGTTATATTAGTTTGTGAATCTGATATTTCATATCAATTTTGTATAACTCTCTCTCTCTCTAAAAATCCTTTCCTCTCCCTTCTCTTTATATTTCCCTACGCCAAATTGGACCAAAATCTTGATTTCTCAAGATTCATTAGAGTTCTGCCATAAGTTCTTCATCAAAGTTGGTTAGCTTCTCGAGGGATTCGTTGTATGCGGTGAAGATCGAGTTTCGACACCATTGATTTTGGGTGTTTCATCTCATTTCTTCTTCAAAACTTGAGGTAGGGATTTTCTAAGAGTTATATATATATTTTTGCAAGATCTATATGATTTTCGAAATCATCTTTCGATAGCTTTGAAAATTGATTGTTGATTCAACAAGTTGAGCGATTTTGAAAGTGAGTTTGTCTCTTGTTCTTTTAAAATGATCTTATGGGTTTTGATCTTCATTGATTGAAAAAAAGATAATTTTAGAAAGTTTTCTTTCAAAAGATTTGAGTTGTATAGTTTTGGTGAGAAAATCTAGAATTTGGGGATTTTTTTTAAAAGAGACTGAAAATCCATGAATGAAATTGTTATATTTATTTTATGTGTCAAAATAAATGGATGTTTGGAAAATTTCTTATTTATATTTATATAAATGATGAATTTCAGGGAATATGAGAACTGTTGTTCATTTTGGAAATTATTGTTCAAAACGTTGAAATAGTCTTAAAATGACTAATTGTTGAGGATACTTAAGAAGAAGGAATTGTGTTATTCCTTGGATGATGAATTGGAATGAAAGTATTTATATTCATCTTGTGTTATTGGCATAACAATTCATTTGATTACATTAAATTTTGAAAGTTGATTTGAAAACTTGCATTGAGAAAATAATGTTGAGAAACAAGTTTTCATGAAATGGTTTTGGGGTAAATACGTTGGTAAGTCTTGATAGGTGGTGTAGATGATATTGAATAAGTTGGCCTGAGAGTCCGGGTTGAAAAACTGAAAACCCGCGCGGATAGGTATCGAGCCTTCCGGTTAATACCGGTAAAAATGACAATTTGGTAGTACTTGCATAGTCTACTTGCAGACATCGACTTAGGGATTACCAGAGTCGTATTTGCTGCCCTTGAAATAAATTGTTAAGTTTTGAACAATTGAAATTGCATGATATTATTGAGCATGATGGTTTTCAAAAGATGAAAATGTGATTTATCTTCAAAAAGAGCATAGCATGGCATGTGCATTTCATCTCTTGAGACTTGTATAAAATGTATATACTTTGTTAAGAATTTCTTACTGGGCTTTATGCTCACCCTACAGGATTTTTGTGCAGGAAAAGATGTGGTGATCTCATCCAACTAGGGGCGTGGAAGTATGTGTGTTGGGAGTACAATGCTCTCATTTTGTTGTGACTCTGTGTATAAGCCAATGGCTATATGTGTGTGGGTTTGAATAACCGTTTTGTGTAACCAGGCTCAAGCCTTGGAAACTTGTAAACTCTTAGGGGTATTTATTTGTTTATTTACTTGTTGTTGGATTAATGTATTGTTGCATGAAGGACTATTATATCATGTAATGTAAGTTTGGAGATTTATATTTTAATTTTCCTTGAAAGAGCCATAATTATTGTCTTATCATTTGGGTTAGAAATTTAGGGTGTTACAATGGTTCTTTTCTCTTGCTTTGTTTCTCACTCATGCTTGATTTAAATGCAAAAAAACAAAGAGAGAATCCAGATTAGAGAGAGAAATGGAAGGGGTTAGGGATTGGTTTTGAGATTAGGGGTATAGTTGGTATTAAGGTGGGAATTTACAAAAAAAATGTAGATGGGGATTTAAAGAAGTGGGTGGGCCAAAGTAATTAGGTGGGAGTAAATATCAATCTTCTTTATTATACATTTTTTCGTAAAAAATCAAAAGTTTCTCCAAACATACATTTTTTTTAATCTTCTTTTGTAGTCAAAAAATTTAAAAGTACATTTATGTAACACATCCCAAACAATCTTATGAATAGTTTACTCTTCTTTTATCAAGGGAATACTGAAATGCAACATGAATGCTAAAAAACATGCGTAATTTTGTTGTGCTACTGGGTCAACTAATTATGAGAATATCAATATAATTAGCCCATTAAAATATTAGCTAAACAAAGATCAGCTTCATATGTAATTGCAACCACTCCATTTAAGAGACGGAAGCTATTTGGTGGACTTAAAATAATATATTACATCATTCAATATAATAATATTGTCTCTCAAAAATCAATACAAAAAAAAGTATTAGGTTAACTATTTTAATTAATAAAAATCAAAGTATAATATATTTATGTCCCGTTATTTTGATAAAAAATATTTTCTGTATAATATATTTTTCTTATGTTTGATTATATTATTGAAACTAATAATGGTGGTGACAACAGCGTAGACGTGGAGGTCGTGGGATGGCGGAGGACTATGATGGAGTTGGTGACCGAGGCAGTAGTGTGATATTAATAAGATTTTAATTTATAAAATATTTTTTATTTTAAAAAAAAAAAAACTAAGTGAAAGTTAAAAAAAAGGTGGAGAGTCGAAACTTTTTATCCCAACTAATAAAAATATAAGATTATTTTGCATAACTAGTTTGGAATGCGAGTGTTGTAATCAAAAAGTTTAAAAGTTATTAAAAAAAAATTAGAAAGTCTATAATTTATACTAAAAAGTTAAAGATTTTTTTTTTCTCTACTTTTTGTACATTTTTTCCTAAAAAATCAAAAAATTATTTCAAGCATACTAATTCTTTTAGGGCTTTTTTTTTTTTTTTAAGGTTCCCTCGTATTAAGATTTTATAGCATAAAGGACATCTAATATTTTCATAATGTCTAAGGTCCCTCAAGTTGATCCAGAGAAAATCTAGTTCAAAGAAAATGAAAATTGGTTCAGAGAAAATTGGTCCAGAGAAATTTTAAAATTTCTCTGGCCTTCAGGACGTGCGTTGATAGAGGACAGAAAGTGCATACAACATCGAGCTGATTACCAAAAAAAAAAAAAAGAAGCAATAACATCAGTGGGATTTGCAGACTAAGAAACACAACCATTGACGGAATGAAATTAAACATACACACATGAGTACAGGTATATGTAAGTGTGAAATCTATGAAAATATACATAATATATATAAACTCAGAGATAGTGGACTTTTTGGAATTTGCTGTTCATAACAAATTTATCAAACATTACTTTCCGACGAGTCACTTTAGATGCCTTCCAGCAAAGCAAGCTTCTTGATTTAGATTCTAGTTTCCTGTAGAAACCAAGAAATAATAGAGCCATTTCAAAGTTCATGAACATCTTTGAGTTTAAGACTTTGAACATTCAAATTTCTCTGGACTCCCCAAAACCAGAAAAATTCCCAGACAAACATTTCCAGATATTCTCTCACCTAGAGAATTTCTCTGGACTCTACAATCCAGAGAAAATTCCCAGACAAATATTTCCAGAGAAATTCTCTCAACCCAAAGAATATCTCTCAACTCCACAACCCAGAGAAATTCCCAAACAAACCTTTCCAAAAAAAAAATTGTTAATTTCAGTAATTATCACATACTCCTCCAAAGAAATAAGAAAGAAAAATAATGGATAAAGCTGCCATGGGCATGGACGTAATGCTTTGAGACGAGACCAATGATGATGAACTTGCAGAATTTGTAACCGAGTTCTTCGAATTGGGTGAACCTGCAATTCATGAATTAATACTACAGTTAGGATAGATATGAAATTTGAATCCGAGAATCTCATGACTAAGAAAGTGGAATATATATGAATGACAAGTAAAAAAATTTGCCAAAAACAGTATATAATTTGCTAGAGAAACTTGCTTCTGACTCGATTATAAATTGTGTTTGGATTATGGATTTGTGTAAAGATTTAAAAAGAGAAAATAAAATATGAGAAAAATGTTTGTTTTCATATTTAAAATCTGTCCAAAATCTGTGATTCAAAACACAGGAAAAAGGAATGGAGTGCGGGAGTATATATATATATATATATGTGCATGTGGTATACCTGTAGCTGTAGCAAGGCAGTGGCTAGCGTCGGAGTCTGATTGTGAAGAGACGAGGAGGAAGACGACGGAGCACAAGGCGATCTGTGGCGGAACTGAGCGTGGCCAGTTCGGTTCAAAACTCACCGCCATTGAAGCTATATATATATATATTTGTGTAAGTATTCTAGAGAGAGAGAGAGAGAGAGAGAGAGAGAGAAGTGGGAAGCTGAGGTTTGATTTTAGATAAATTTCTGGGTCTGGGAGTTGAGGGACCTTAGATATCAAAAAATAATTTTGTGGATCTCTTCCATTACGAAAAGTGGGAGAGGGACCCTAGACTAATTTTTCTATTTTTTTATCTCATATTTTAGTAAAAAAATTCAAAAAATTACTAAAATAATATGTTCCCAAATAAGACTTGAATACATAAATTATTTATAGCTTTATCATTTTACAATTACTTTTTCACTTTTCACTTTTCTAATAAGAAAAAACTATATGAAGGTGACAGAAGAGAAAAAAAATTATTAACATGTGAGAGGATGCAAGTGTTACCACTTTCACAATCTTTCATTTACATTTCACCATAAGCACACTTACACCATAATGTAGTGATAATTTTTTTCTTTTTTTTCCTTTTCAATGTTCTCTTAAAAAATTATGATCTTGTTTGGGAACAAGTTATTTTAATAATTTTTTAACTTTTTATAAAAAAATATGTACAAAAACAAATAGAGTGATATGATAATTTATAATAATTTCTTATAATAATTTTTTAATTTTTTTAATTAAAATATATAATTAACAAATAAGACCTAAATGTCAACTGAATTTTAAGGGGTGGTTTGGAATAATCTAAATAAGTGCACTTTTTGACTTTTTATTAAATATGGGTTGGGTTTGAAGTGATGTTTTAAAGAGGTGATGTGCCTTAAATAAGATGATGTGCCTTAAATAAGATAGTAACTTTTTGACTTTTTACCTTTTTTAAATCATGCCAAACAAGGCATTAGTTTTTATATAATAAGAGAGTAATTAATGTGGAAGTTTTTGTTAAACAAAATTCTCCCAAAACTTAAATATATATATATATATATATTATTTTTGAAGAGAATTTAATATTTTAAAATAATAAAAAATAAAATAAGGGACTAACATTTTAAAACAGAAAGAATAGACACAAACAGCTATCCACGGTCAAAAACTAAACAGCAACTCTCCAAAGGCACTTTAATCTGAATTTTGAATGAAAATGAAAATTGCCGTTGCACGGTCCCCTATGAACCGGAGATTGAACCTTGAGGTCATGTTTGATTCACAAAATTAATATTGAAATATTAATAATCCTATTAAATTAGTGTGGTATTCACTATTCAATTAGATTAATATCCATTGGATTAATAATCCCACCCCTACCCCATTACTGATAATCCTATAAATTTGTTGGATTAATTATCCATTGGATTAATAATCTTAAACCAAAATGTTAAAACAAACATAAGATAATTGGGCCCACGGATTAATAATCCCAATCCCATACTCTAATCCACCCAATCAAACATGCTCTAATCTACCCAATCAAACATGCCCTGGAGATACAAATTAGAACAGTCCATCTCACCCAGGCACAGAGACACGTGTAATGGTATCAAAATACCCATTTATTTACTATTTATGCTTCCCAAATATAAAAGAGCTCTGCTACAGAGCCCGAAAGGGTTTCGAGCCAAATTTGGCTCGAATTTGAGAAGAAGGAGGAAGAAGAAGAAGAAGGGAAGGAGAGGGAGGGGAGGGGAGGGGAGGGGGAGGAAGGACTGGAGGGGGCCTAAAAAATGGAGGAGGAGGGGCTGAGGCGAGGCAGACGCAATGGGCGGTGGCCGACGCGATCGGCGGAGGCGACGCGATCGGCGGCGGGAGGCGCAGGCGACGCGACCTCTCTCTCTCTTTCTCTCCCTCCCCCTCTCTTTCTCTCCCTCTTCCTCTGCATTGCAGAGGTCGAAAATGGCGGAAAACAAGAAAAAAAAAAAAACGGAATACCCAAAACGATTTCGGGCCCTCAAACATTTTCCAAAATAAAAATTAAAATCTGAACTTGATTAAGAGTACTAAAGTCTTGTTTGGGAACATGTTTTTTTTAGTAAGTTTTTAGTTTTTTAGCTACAATGTGATGTAAAAAAAATTAGTATATTTGGAATGTCTTTTTGAATTTTTACGAAAAGATATGTAAAAAATAAAAAGAAAATAGAACATTTAACTTTTTGGTATAGATTATCGACTTTTTGATTTTTTTAGTAATTTTTGACTTTTTAGCTAAAAGTGACCATTGCCAAACGAGGCCTAAGAGTCATGTTTTTATGATTAAAATTGTTTATTCCGTATATCTATATATAATCAATAAGTTTTATTTGTACTGAAATCACATACATAATCTGTTTGACACATATATCTTATAAAAGGAGGGGAGTTCAGGATCCACATGTAAGACTCTATTTGTGAGAAATCTATATTTCTTTCTGTATTTAACTTTTGTACATTTAACATTACTAATATATAATCATTTAAAAAATAATTGGTCAATTTGAATATGAAACTCGTGATAAATTTAACGGATTATGATGATCAATTTCATATTTTGAAGTCCAAACCTATAATTATATATAGAGACACACACATTTAATAAACCATTGTACTATTTAGATGCAATTGCAATAAAAAGGAAAGAATATCATAAATTAAAAGCAAGAATAACGCAGAGCATTTATACATTTCATAAATGTTTTAGACTTCTGCGTGGTTGAAATTTGAAATGAAAAAAAAAAAGAAAAAAAATGAGTAAAATGTAAATAAGATATATTTACATATTATATAATTTCAAATACATTTTTCTTCTTCATTTTTTTTTTTTCAAATTTCTCAACTAAACACAATTTTAATAGTCAAAATAAAAAAAATAAAAATAAAAGCAAGGTAAAAAAAGAAAATGAGTCAAAGAAGAATAATAAATGAATCATACCTTGGAGACGATGGATAAACACAAGATCCATAACCTTACAAAAAAAGAAAAAAAAGAAATCAAATAATAAGCATACTCATATTAAAAATAAATATATATAGAGAGAAAGTGTTGTTGGAAAATGGTTTTATATAGGCATATTTTTTAACCCAATTTGGGTGGACCCCAAACGTCTTTTGGGGTGGGTCCGAAGAGGTGAAGTGGTGAAGACGGAACGTCAAAACCATTTATAAGTAAATGGGAAGATGACGTCGTTTTCGGGTTTAACATTAATTTTTTAGATAAAATTCTTTTGAATTTTTTCAATAAAAAATTATTGTGGGAATTTAATTTAATTCTAAATTTAAATTTTAGATTCCTTATGTGGTTTCCTAAAATTTGTACCTCTTACTTTATTTATTAAACTATTCAATTTGTTTAATATATATATATATTCAATAGTTTAATATATATATATATATATATTCAAATAGTTTAATTCAAAAAGTTCCTACAGGTTTGAAAGGCATAACCACTTCCTTAAGTGGTTTCCTAAAATTTGTATCTCTTACTTTATTTATTAAACTATTCAATTTGTTTAATATATATATATATATTCAAATAGTTTAATTCAAAAAGTTCCTACAGGTTTGAAAGGCATAACCACCACCAATGGATCCTTTTGTTTGATAGCATGTTCTTTACAACGGACAGATTCAAAATTTCAAACAAAACCTGTTCAAACATTGTCACATCTGTTCGGCAATTGTTTGCACCTGTTGGGACAGAATTTTGGTCTCTCTTTGTTCCTATTTATAGATCCACTTCCTTCTGTTCAAGAACACCCAAAAATCTGTCAAAATTTGGTCTCATTACTGTCCAGATTTTTCTACTTTTGTATTATTCTTCATTTATATTTTTAGGACTAATAAAAGAGAGTATTAGAACACAAGGTTTGGTTCACCGAACAAATTGTTTGGAGTACTACTACAATTTGTGAAGATCATTGTATCCTGGGAGATAGACGCCACTCAACCGTAAGTACCATAGCGGGGCGAATCTGTCCTAAGGACAGAGTGTCTCACACTTGACTTGGTCTTTTTATTTTTGTTTGGTTCAACAAAATAATTTCTGTAAGTGTTATTTTATCTTGTTCGAATTATTTCAGTTTATTTTATTTACACAGAAGATTGTTCCAACAAGTGTATGTAGAGAGAGAGGGAGAGAGAGAGAGAGAGGAGGAGGAGGACAGACTGGGGTCGGTTTTGGCAATGGTGGCGGAGCCGGCGAAGTCGCAGCTGCCAGGGGCATTGGCTTGGCTCTGGTAATAGCTATTGATGTCATAGGAAGCGTGAGCTTGAACGGTGTTAGGAAGGAAACAAAGCCCAGGTGACTGAATCGGCCCGCAGTCTGCTCCGAAGCCGCAAGCGTAGTCCAGAGCTGTCTGTAGAGCCTGGTGGCTGGCGTCACTCCTCGCCACGCACCATGTTGCTTCGGCTACTTTTATGACACCGTTTTGGGTGATGAAGAGAGAGAGAGAGTGTGATGACAAGGAATGTTGTAGCCACCAGTGATGCCAAGGAAGAGAGTTATATGGTTTGTGCTGCTGTTGGGTAGTAGTAGTAACGTGAGAGTTAGTAGAGAGAGAGAGAGAGAGAGAGAGAGAGAGTCAAGGGTGGGGGGAGTACTTTCTTTTCTTTTCTTTTGGCTTTTATACTTTTCTCTTTTATATTTTGAATTATGACACGAAACGTTGTTTTAATGATGGCACGAAACGTTGTTTTAATGGGTTGTATTGTAAATAATGGAGCAATTGATAGTGAATAATGCTATAAATCTTAAAAGATTTGATCAAAATTTTTATTAAAAATCTCGTATCGAATAGGTTATACATGGCAATGGGCTCTACACTTATATAATATATCTAATAAAAATTTAAGTAATGTTGAGCATACAGGCACTAAACACATAATAAGACATATATGTCTCGCATAAGATGTGTCTCATATGATGTGAGATCTACATGTGAAACCCAACCTATTTTAGATATATATGTCTAATTTTGTATTTAGTGTTTATATTCTTGGACTTATTGTAGAAATTTTAGTCAATCTTTTAGGATCTATAACATTTTCATTGATGGTATTGTTAGGTGGAT